ATTGTATTTTATGTTGAATAATTTACACAATTTATAGATAAAAGTATGGGATAATGATTTTGTTACATAACAAAAATTGGATTTAGGAATGGAAAATATTTGTACATAATTTCTAATAATTTTGATACAAAACATCTAATCTTACTAAATGAGTAATATTCCACAAGAAAGATTACATTGGTCTGTGGGATAATAGCTGATTCTAATTTTTCTCAATTTTTAAACAGTCTCTCTAACATGTGGGGTGTCAGTATACACAAGGACTTACGTGTCTTTCCAAGGTTTTTGGCCTGAACAACTGAATGAATCATGCTGCCATCTTTTGAGATTGAGAAAATACAGGGAGGAACTTTTTTTTTTAAAGGGAAGGTTGCGTGAGATTGAGGAACCTGAGTCTGGTATTCAGAGAAATCTAGAGCTGAAGATCAAAATTTGGGAGTCATGATCATATGGGTGGTAAGGTTATGAGGGTGGCTGTGTTGACTCTTTCAGCTAGAGAGTGAGTTTGAATAGGAGAGAGGAAAGGAAATAGGAAAGTGACAACTAGGCCATACCAACATTTAGAGTTTGAAAGAGTGAGAGGAGGAGATCTAAGTGAAGGAGAAAGAGGAGGAAGGCCAGAGGAATGTCACTGATGCTGAAGAAGGAAAGCTGGTCCAGGGTAGAGTGACAGTTATGTCCGTTGCTGTGAGAAGTTAAGGACTGAGAATTAACCATTAGATTTGAAAACATGGAGACTGTGACAAGGGTCATTTCATCGGAGGGGTATGGACATAGACCGAATCAGGTTCTAGAGAAGATTGAAAGTGAGGAAGTGTGGATTCTAAAATGTACATGTGTTATATGTGATGGATTTAAATAACAGTGCTAATGTGACAAGAGATTTTCATAAATAAAGAGAAAACAAAAGTATTTCTTGTAAGTGCTCACATGCTTATTTAGTCCAGTGCCAACTTTAGTCCAAGAAAACCATGACTTCCACTTTACATCCACTTAAGTTAAAGAAGGTTCTGTTGGGCTTATATAAATGATAAACCTCTGATTAAAGCCCCAGGTGCTAATTCATTTTATTGCATCCTCTGGGCTTGAATGAAGGAAATATATATGAGTATATAAGTATCAGATGATAATCTTAATATCATCTTAAGTAGGACAGTTCAGACATACCTGTGTGCAATTTTGACTTTACTCTTCACTAGTTGTGAAACCCTGGAAAATTACCTAAATCTTCTAAGCCTATTATCTCAAAAATAAAATGTGGACAATGATGATATAAGGATAAATGAAGATAATATGACTTAATTATTTAGCATGCTCTCAGGGATATAGTAAGGACTCAGTAAGTGGATGTTAATTTGCTTTGCTGTGATTACTGTCTTGTTATTTAATAGGACATAACTGAAATCCTATGCAATTTAGTAAAAAGAAGATGAGTCTTCTAATAAAGAACAGGAAAACAAGATACCTGAGAGGAATCCTTACCTAATAAAACATAGTTGGGGGTTCATCTTACTCTGTGTATGTTTATTTCTCTCTGTTGTGTCCTCCCCTTTAGTAAAGGTATACAAGCACGGGAGTACAGACTGTAGACTCTGTAGGGCATGTTTGTAATCTCAGGCCCTGGAATAAGTGGGAAACCCCAGGTCCATCTTCCCATGTTTTCTATTCATCCAGCACTGTTAGTGATAATAGCTAAATGTATTGAGTGTTTCCCGGGTGCTAAGCACTGTGCTAAACATTTTATAGCTATTAACTGATTTAGACTTCATGGCCCTAGGAGGTTATTACCTCCATTTTTGCAGATGAGGAAACTAAGGCACAGACAGATTAAGTAACTTGCCTAAGATGACACCATTGGTAAATGGTGTGTCTGGTTCAATCCCAGGCAGACTGGTCACACAGTATTCACTCTTAACCACGGCTTCCTCATTCTACTCAGGGTGATAAGATAGCATTTATTCGTCACAGCTTTTCTGTGATGCAAATAGTAAAGAGGTGGGACCAGTATTCTTCCCCAGCACTTCATTAATGGTTGATGATTTGTGTTGGGGATCCAGGTATCACATCCCACAGCCTGCCACCAAGAGGTGTCCTTCAGGTAGGTTCATGAAATGAAAAGCAGAGTGATCATACTCTCTTGATTAACTACAAATGTTAGTCACTCAGGAGTCATGATTTGAGGGTCAAGTTCTTGTCCCCAAAGAAAGAAGAGTCTTTTTTTTATTAAGACATCTAAAAAGTTCTCACATGCTTAGCAAAAAAAGTTAAATTAAGCTTACTCTCTGCTCCAAATGAGTAAGTGCATATTAATAGAACAATTGGTACACATGGTCTTAATGGTATAGCTTCCTTGTTTTCTATGCAATGTAAATCACCAAACCTGCGTTTTTCCACCTGACATAAACTGTCAGTCTCAACAGAGCACATTGTAGCATTTAATATATGTTACACAACAACCAAGATTGCCCTTTTCTTCAACATGGTGCGTTTTTTTCTTTCCACATCCAGCAGTTAGTACTAAGGCCTGAAACCCTTAGTTACAGAACAAAGTGGCTTAGCAGTAATTGAGCCTGTGTGAGGCTAAGAGAAGAATAATGAACATTCCCTGCAAGCTTCCTGCCTAGATGCAGGTGCAGGAATCAGGAGGTCATGAATAATGCATGACATGCAGATTAGGTGGTGGTTTCTCCTCCTGGGGTTTTGACTTTGCTACCTGCCCGGCTGCTATATGTGGAATGAAGGCAGAAGAAGATGGCAAAAAGTGTCACAGTTTAAAGACTGAGCTCATAAAAACATTACATATCTTTTGGTAGAGATCCAGTTTGCGGTAGCTGCAGTGCAAGCCTCATGGTCTAGGGTACCCTATCGGAAATAGTAGCTTCAGGTTATCAGTGCACTCCCTTCAAGGAGGAAAATAAGACTTTCTTGATTTACCTTTTTAATTTAAGAAACCGTGTAATTCTTTGGCCATACACACACCATCAGGACTACTCTTCCCAAGATTTTCCTAGAGAATTATTTTCCTAAGATTACTAAACCATTGTAGAAATCACTCATTTACACAAATACAAATCATCCATGTATTTGATCCATTTTCCTAAAAGATACAAATACTTAAAGAATGTTGTAATTATGAATTAAGCAAGTCCATTATTTTCCACCAATGTATAAAATAAACAGCATCAATAAGAGAATACTTCTGTCATTAGACTTCACCTGGTGCCATTCTCATGATGAAATAATTTTTCTGTACTATTAGGGTTAAGGAGAGGGCAATAAGTAAGGTAAACATCTAAAGGATATGGAGTGAATGAAAGAACTGTGAGTATTTGGAGCTGATTATGACTTGAAACTGTATTTAAACAATGAGGACTCTGATACCCCAGAGGATATGGGGAAAGTTCAGGAGGATGTCTCACATTTCCCGTTTAGGTCAAGGGGCTTTGACTGGGGAGAAATTGTTTTGGCTCAGATGTCCATTTTGAGGATTGCATTTCAAGCAGACAGAAAGCAGAAAAGAAAGAAGAAAAAAATTAATCTTGCTAGCTTTCATATAATTCGTATGCATTTTTATTGCATCTTTCTCTCTGTCCAATTTGGGGTGCTGGAATATGAGCTGGCGTTCATTTCTAGCTGAGTCTGTCATTTCCGCTAGGCCCCAGTTTGGCGGGATGCCAAGACCAACAGGTGATCCTTGTAGCTGCAGAACAGCAGGAAGTGGGCCGTGCTTGAATGAGACAGTTCACCAGAGGGGCTGTCTGGCCTCTCTCCATCTTTCTGCATAATTAACGCCCCCTCCCCCATGCAGAGCAGAAAATCTGTGCTGAGCAGCTCAGCTGCAGCAGCCATTGAGAAGTGCTGTGGGGAAAAGAATGTTAATAAGGGGATGTTGGAAGAAATAAGCCTTCCCTGTGCAAAGTGCAGCCTGGCTCTGGCTTCAGGGAAAGGCTGCAGTTGGCCTTCGGCGGTGCTGGAGCTGTATTATCTATTTGGGAGGATTTTCACTTGCTAAGCAGCTGTGGAGAACTGGGGTCCTAATGAACCTTGGAGCTGGTGTTTCTAACTGGACTTCAAGACCCGTTTTAAGTCCCAGTTTTCTTTCTTCCTTGCCTTGTAAATAAGAGTAACGTATGAAGCATAAAGAGTGAAGGTGATACAGGCGAAGACTGCCCACATCTCACAAACCCGGTCGAGATAGACCAGGGCAGGGAGCCGGCAGCAAGGGAGCCGAAAGTAGGGCACATTGGCAGCTAGTGACCCACAGGGGCGGAAGTTTAGCGGCAAGTCTCTGATTGAAAGATAATTAGCAGTTCCTGGAAGCTTTAAACTATTTACAGTGGATGAGTCCAAGCTTGTAAAGCAAGATATTCTTCATGTATCCTTTATCTGGCTCAAGTTTTGAGTTGGCTTTGCCTTCCTCAAAGCCCAGCTGTAGAGCATCACTTTCAGAAGGCCTGTCTCCCTAGAGGTACCCACCTGTTCATCCTTCCTTCCTCTCCCATTCCCACAGATTCTGTACCTGGACGTTTGAATAAAGTTGTCTTGGTTTTTAGGGTTTTCAACCTGGAGGTCAGCTGAAGAAGTGAGCACTTAGGCTGTCTCTTTGAGCCCCCCTTGTGGAAATGAGTACAATGATGGCTCGTTGAGGGCAGGCACCATATCTCATATACTTTTTCCCCCCACACTTATATCCCGCAAGGCTTAGGTATTCAGTAACTTTTGGTGGACTGAATGAGGGCACTGGTGGTCCTGCTCCTGGGATTCTTCACAGTGAGCTTTGTGACAGACTCAGGTTATCTTGAGTGGCAAAGAAGGAAGCAGGAACTGCAGGTTTGCAGGCATAGGAGTTTAATTGCATCATTTACTAAGATGGGATCAAGATCAGGGGGATTATAGTTTAAGCAAATCTAAAAGGAATCATTTATAAAACAGATGCCATTTTTGGATGTGCAGTTGGGACTATGCTTTCTAATGACTGGATTTCTCTCATCTATCTACAGGGTACATCCGTCTCCAGTATCGAGGGTCCGGGGAAATCGAATGAATAATCAAAAGTTTGCCTGGTGAGTATGCAGTCTGTTATGAATATTTGTAAGTCTTACAGGAAATTTTTATAGTGCTTGTGTTAAATTTAAAAGAATCCTCCTTGCTCCTTTGTAGAGAATAAATTTCCATTAACTAGACTAGGCAATGTGCTTTTCCAGACAGTTCTAAACAAATTTTGATAAAGTTTCTTTTCAGCCAAAATGTTTTACTCACCAAAAACTCTGAGTGCAATTTTTTTCCCTAACATATGATCTAATTTCCCAGGATTATCAGCTGTTACCTTTTTAGAGGATGTTTCCTTCAAAGATATCAAGCCAGATTTTCCTCAGATACCAACTTCAGCTTTTCATGAAGATTTCCACAGTTAATTACTCTGTTATATTAATTTTGGTGATTACTACTGGGATGATTGCTTTTCCTGGCCTTAACCTTAAATATCCAGGATTTTTTTTTTTTTTTGACTTGGAGAATACCAGTCAAGAACTAGTCCTTTAACTGACTTGAACAAAAAAATATAGATGGAACTTAGCAGAAACAACCTGAAGGTTTTTTCAACCACAAAACATTGATTATTGATTCTTTAGAGAAGCAATTTAAAGTGTTTCACAAATATTTCCTGTGAAACAAAAAATAAATTAGTTAACATAGTCTCAAAATCTGTATTTGTTTATATTACTCTATGCCGCCAAATTAACCTTTCAACACATAATGTATTGTTTTTAAAAAGGAAGAAAAAAGAAATGTTAAAAAAAATTGAATTGCGCTGTACTACTTCAAAGATGAATGAACTTCACAGATCTCTTTTTTACTTCATTGAATTATGCTTAGAATGGAATTTTGATTAAAAACTATGGCCTTTTTTTTTTAAGTATGGAAAGATGATTACCAAAGATTGAGCTTCCAAATTAATTTTTATTCCTAAATCAGGATTATTTTTAGACACAAAATAATGACACTTTGAATTTGAATAGTGTCTAATCAGCTCGCCTCCCTTCCCCCATTAAATCTAATTAACCCTCACAATAGCTTGGTTATGTTGTTAAATATTATGCTTTTCTTTCTCACATGGGGAGAAATAGAGCACAGAGGATACAGTCATTTGCTTACAGGCTGCCTAAAAGCTGGGGCATCCTTCCTGGGCTCTCACAATCACCAAAGCATATTATCCCAGTCTCTGGGATAGCTGAGGGGATAATAGTCATTACGTGAAGGAAAAGGAGAAACATTCTTGACTGCATGGAAGTTGTGTTCTTTCTCAGTACAAGGCATATTGTACCGAAGAAACCTCATTACATCTAGACACTGTGAGATGCTCAGGTTAACGCTAATGGTGAAGTACACAGTTGCCAGGTACGAGATCCAGTGTCTACAGCTCGGTTCTCAGTAGCTAAACGTGAAGCACTGGGTAAATGATACATTTTATTTTCTTTACTTTCCCTTTCTGAAGTATTGGAATAATGATAACTTGTTCCTAAATAATTCATAACATACTATTTGGTTAGAAAGTTTAGACCACTTTTATCTCCAGAGAAGTACTCCATGAAAAACAGAAATGATTTTTACTGCTAGCCTTGAGAAAAAAAATCAACTTTTATTTACTCAGCAACATTATTTACAGTCTCAAGCACTATAAAAAGTACTAGATTGGAAAGATAAATAAAACATGATTTTGATACTCAAGGCACTAATTGTCTTGTAGTGGAGATTTGTGTGTGTATGTGTGTGAAGTCATACATCTATATAATACCACACAAACACATATAACATGAACTATAATGTGGGTAATGCTATTAGAAGATAAATTTATAGCATAACAGTTAGAGGGAGAAGATAGCAACTCCATCTAGTATGAGAGTGGATAGTAGGAAAGAGGACAAATATAAAGTAAGGAAGAAAGGAAAGCTTTTGAGTAAAGAACTATTATAGAACCATAAAGAAGGACAAAATCATGGACTTCGCAGCAAATTGGTTGGACTTGGAGTCAGTCATACTTAGTGATCTGTCACAGAAACAAAGAGCTGAATACTACATGTTCTCACTCATAAGTAGGACCTGAACATTATTAACAATAGCACAAGGGAGGGAATGGCAGTCTTGGTACATTGCCAGGGAAGGGAGGGAGGAGGGCTGGCACGTAACAACCCAAAGGGTACCTGGTCCTAAACCAGGGAAATGAGGACCAGCTGGAGGCCCAAACATCACCTGCATGTAGATTATTTATGCACTTAATCCTGACTTGGACCCCACATCTCTATAATAAAATAAAAATAATTAAAAAAAAAAAAAAAAAAAACTAGAGTGAGAAGGAAAACCAGAGTTGAGCTAGTTAATATTTCCTTCATATGCTGAAGTGTACGTATAAAGGCCTGGAGACATTTCTGAATTGACTGTAGTGGGAGCATATGTGAATTTAGTGCATGTACTGGTCATGAGTAAGCTAAAATTTCTATGATATATGCTACCTTGAATCTTCCTTAGGTAAACACTGTGAGACTGGTATATGGAAATAAATCACCTGGCTAGGAAGAAGCCCCATGAATCATCTAGCATCTACTGCTAGTGAAGCGATAAACACTTGTTAGAGCTTTGTGAAATATTGGCTCTGAAAATTCAGGAAGTTTAAAGACCCATGCCAGCAATGAAGAGAGAGGGAATGTGATCATCGCTCTCCTCTATCTATAAATTGAGTACTGTATAGAGCATTCGATGTCAAGTTAAACACTAGCATGGCTCTGACTTGAGTTAGCTCTGCAAACACTCTGTAAGTGAGAATTAGGAACAGTGGTTTTGTGAAGTTGGCCTAGCAAATACCCTAATAAGTTAAAAATATTGTGTATCAAATAAGCGATTAAAATTCAGTCAGGGATGAAAAGGCTTGAACTTTTAGGTAACGCATTGTAGTTGGTAGGTCGTGCAAGTCTATGGTTGCAGTTGAGCTACCTAACCAGTGTTTATTGCTGAGTAAAGATGCTTTAAAGTTTTAAGTAGTACTTTTTCGTTGCATAATGTTGGTATGAGAGATGGCGTCCGCTGGCCCCATTCATGTGACAACATTCCTCTGGCTCTAAAGAAATGTGTGGAAAAGAATGTTCAAGGCAAACAAAATCTGCTGGAATGGAAAAAAGGATGGTAACAGTGACATATCCAGGGAGGAAATGAGAGCCTCGGAGCGTAAGGGGTCCAGTGACATAAGTGAGGGTGAAGCCAGGTCTGCTATAACTATCTGCTCACACCAAGGGATTAAAAATGGCAATGAGAACTTCTTGCAGGGTGTGTTAGCACCCCCATTAAAGAATAGCAGATCATTTTACAACTCAATTAATATTAAATTAACCCAAGGTAGCAAGCCAGGTCAGACATAAACTCTGTTCATCAGAATATCTCTCCCTTCAGTGCCACCACACACTGAGAATTGCTGATTTGAGGACTGATGAAGCCTTTAGGGTTTAGCTATGTGAATTTCTTTTTCTATTTCATGCAGCAGACCTCTCCTCTCTTCATCCTTGGTCCTACGTGGGTGACTGTGCCTTTCTTTGTCCAGTGTAGAGGAGGGGGAAAACAATCTTTTCCTTCTGCCCATCTTAGGTTCATCGGCTGGGACCCTGTAAATTAGACTGACAAAAGAAAGATAAACAAAGGAAAATGAACAGAAGTTGATTAACGTGTGCATTGACACGCACATGAGAGTCCCCAGAGATGAGTAACTCAGAGGGGTGGTTAAAGCTTATATGGCATCTTAACAAAAGAGCAGTGATGTTTTGGAGAAGTGACAAGACAAAGGAAAAGATTTGGAGTTCTGGGGGGAACAACTGTGAGAAGGTAAATATCTGGGAGACAAGGTCTAGATGGTAGAAATTTGTTGTGCAGGTTTCTCTGCTGCCCCCTCAGGGTTGATAAGGAGAAATGTCTCCAGTGTTCCTGAATCTCTTGCCCTACCTGGCAGGAAGAGGGAGAGCAGAGAGTTTCTCTTGTGTCTAAAATTTTTTCGTTGCTTCCAGCTCATAATTCTTCTTAGGCCCAAGTGGCTTATTTTAGAGTGGCATATTCTGCTACCATCTACTTTATAAACATTTTTGAGAGCGTTTGCCACTCTTTCTTACATACAATAATGCCAGAAAAAATAAATAAAAATAATTTCTCTCCATTTGGGGCAAATGGAGTAAACTCCACCAGAGAGTTGAATGTGGCGATAGACTTTTGTTCTTTTTAAAAAAATTCTTTATTTTAAAGATGTGGGTTACATGCAATTCAGGGTTAGGTATACAAATGTTCGCTATGCTGGTACCCTTGTTGATGAAGTCTTACCCCTGCCCTCCCCAGCAGATTTCTACTACTGCCAATCCTGTCTCCCCTCCCACCCCTCGATTTTTGTTTTTTACAGAGCTCTGTGCTTGGAGCTATTATATTCTGACATCAAGCCCACAGGAGAGGGAATGTTTCCAAGTCATGCTCAGCTCTTTTATTCCTTAAGATATAACAGAAATCTGGAAACTATGTTTTGGTGTGTACATGTGAGCTGGAACAGGACAGGGAGGGGGTTGATGGGAAATATCTGTGAACTGAACACTGACGTTGACTTAAGCCTCCAAAAATGTCTAGGATCTGTGTTAGTATTCCAAAGACATGCACATTTGCATATACCCATCTTTGGATTTTCACTCCTTCCATTCTCCTCCCATTTCTCCCTCCACCATGCTCCATTCCTAAAGTTGTTTTTTTGTTTGTTAGTTTTTTGAGTTGGAATCTCACTCTGTCACCCAGACTGGAGTGCAGTGGCCCCTCCTGGTCACCGCAGCCTCGACCTGCTAGGCTCCAGTGATCCTTCCACCTCAGCCTTCCAAGGAGCTGGAACTACAGGCATGCGCTACCACGCCCGGCTGATTTTTTGATTTATCGTAGAGATAAGGTCTCACCAAATTTCCCAGGCAGGTCTCGAACCCGTGGGCTCAGGCAATCCACTCACCTCAGCCTCCCAAAGACGCGGAATTACAGGCTGAACCACCGAGCCCAGCTCATT